TGTCTGTGTCTGTCAGTGAGTGTGTCTCTGTATGTGTCACTGTGTGTCTGTGTATGTCAGTCAGTTAGTGAGTGTGTGTGTGTGTGTATGTGTGTGTCATTGAGTGTGTGTGTTGATCAGTGTTGCCTTGGCTGCGACTGGACAGTGAAGTACCTGGCGGTGCATGGAGGCACATACCGGCATGACATTGACGTGCTCCACCTTCACAGGGTTTCAAGAAGTAGCGGGAGGATCAGATTTGTGCGGACGGCAGACGGACTCTGGAGTCGAATACTGACAGCAGCAATGTGAGTGGAGTCTGCTTGTGGGCTAGAGGAGGGTACTAGGATTTAGTATAGGGGGGGGGTCTAAGATTTAGTAGAGGGTAGGATTTGGATTTAGTAGAGGGGGTGCTGTGGTTTAGTAGAGGGGGATGCTGTTTTTTTTTTATACTGTACTTTTTTTAAAAAAAATCTAAGTTTCTACGAGAATTTTACGTTGTTTTTTTGCGCCACACATAAACTTAAACCTTGTTTATGTAGCCCATGCTAGATTTTGAGTTTGACATGCTTGATCTAGACATTTCAAGCCTATGGCATGCAATGAGACCAACAAAACTTTTGTAGTTCCCTTGTAACATATCATTGCTAATACTCGAATAAGTATACAATCTCCTCTGGTTTCTAGCATCGTTGCCAAGCAAAACTTAGCTCCTGAGAACATTCCTAAAGGTAGATTGTATGTTCCTCTAGAACACCAGAGAAAGTTACTCCTTTGCCTTCATGACAGTAAGATCGCAGGTCACCCAGGTATACGTAAAACTTAGGATCTAATTTCTAAAGAATATTGGTGGCCATCCTTGCAAAAATATATCAAGGACTATGTATTAGCATGCTGTGTTCTGTAGTAGAACCAAATTGTCCCATACTCTCCCTTGTGATTTGCTTCAATCTCTTGACATATCCAATAAACCTTGGGTTAGCATAGCGATGGATATCATTGTTGATCTACCTATGTCTGACAAAAAAATGGTAATCTTGACTATGGTAGATAGATTTACTAAAACAGCACACTTCATTCCTTTACCCAAATTGCCCTCTTCTCCCAAGTTTGCTATTGTCTTTGACAAAGAGGTGTTTCGTATACATGGTATAATCTTATACCTCCATGCTGTTTTCCAAATGGTTGTGTATGCCCTTGTCTCGTCTAGTGGTGTATCCATGAGGTGCGGTTGAAGTAATAGCTTTTTGGTGTGTTCTCTCCACCTCGCCCCAATTAGGCTAGACCAGGATGAGAGTGTATCACTTTAGTGTGATTGTATTTGATCTGGCTGTGTATGCATGCAAAGAGAAAAGATTGTGAACTGTGGGTAGGCTAGCTGAGGGGAAAAGGAGGGAGAAGAGGAAAAGAAGAGCTCCATCATGTCTCCGTTTCCGCGTGATATGAGGCGAGGCACGGTAGCCTGCCAGCGTTTTTTGGAGTCAATATGTCAAAGCATAGGAAAAGAATGGGTCTCACCCCGTGGGTCCGACATCCCCCCACAGGCCCCCCCCCGTCCCACCCTACTGGTCCCGAGACACAAATACAAACCACGGTCGCCTCATCTCTGCATTTTTGTCCCCTCTGCTAAGCAGGGATGCTTGCATCGCTTCCGCCCCCTGAATGTCCTCCACCTTGCGGATCCATTCCTCCGCACTAGCTGTCTAAGACTTTTTCCAACATAAAGGTATCAGAGCTTTGGCTGCGTTGAGTAAGTGACGTAGGATTGACTTCTTATATCCTGCAATCGACATCTGTGAGACATGTAGGAGTGCTAGGACTGCTGTCCAATCAGTTATGTTTTGTCTTATCATCTCCCAATATGGAGCAAGTGAGCTGCACTCTCACCAGATGTGTATCATCGTGCCTCTCTCCGCTTGGCACCTCCAACATGTCGGGGGTGTTGACGGGAAGATCTTGTGTAGCAGCGTCGGGGTCCGATACCAGAGTGCAATGATTTTATAGTTTGTTTCTTGGTAAGATGAGCTGATGGTACTTTTGTGTTGCCAAAATAAAGCGCTTTCCCATTGTGAGGGTGTAAAGATGGTATCCAGCATCGTCTCTCATTGCCTGCAAAAGGTATTATTTTCCATGAGGTGTCCGACCAGAAGATGTTGGTAAAGCGTGGATATCGCTTTTTCTATAGAGAAGCCCTTTTCACATTGTGCTTCGAACCATGTTAGGTCTGTATCGCACATGCTATCGTAAAAGTGCTTCACCTGCATATATCGGAGCACTGCCAGAGGGCTCTAGGGTGTGCCCCCTAACAAGGAGTCCAGGGCCCGCTTGTTGCCATTCTGTAGTACCCTGGAGATGGGGACATGTTCACGTCCCTCTCCAAAGGGCCACATTGTCGATGTGAGTCCCCTCCCTATCACGCCGTTGTAGGTGACAGACAGCAGTGGACTCAGTGTAGGCAAAATATGTTGTTCCCTCACGAGTCTCATGCACTAGGTATATGCAAAAGTACACATGCTCACATACTATATTTTCAAGAAACCCATTTTAAAGAGGGCTCTGCCCTGAAACTTTGTACCCACATCTATAAACAGGGATTTTTTTAGTAACAACCCAGACAGTAAATCCAAAAGCACTGCTATTCTGGTTCATAAATCTATTATATTCCATTTGTAGTGAAATCTACTCTGATGTATCAGGAGGGTAGCTATATTTTAATTCAAGGTCAAATTCTTGACAAGCCTTACACTTGCAATACTACAGGCGTCTTACTCCAGGGAATTGCAACACACCAAATCATTATTTTTTTTTTTTTATATTTATTTTTTATTGAAGGTTTTTCAAAGGTAAAGATCCAGTACATAGTTGTTTCATAGTGTATACAACGAGTAGTCAGCGGGTTACAGGATAATATATTTGTACTCTAAAGTTATACAGTAACATCATCTGCCTCCGTGTACTATGTAACATTTTATCGAAGCTGGTTTGCAATTACTCTTCAATTGGGTTGATATTACAATTCAAATAAACGTAACAAAGGTATATACACAAACAAATATACAGGCAAATCATAATAGTTTGTATCCAGCATTTCCTGCGTACTTTGGCCATGTCAGCTCACATAAGTCACCGTCTATGCTTCCCTGGGCCGCCCTGATTCTTCTGGGTCCCCTCCTCCCCTCTCACCCTCCCTGGTGTTTCTGTCCCTCATACCATGTCTCCCAGATATTCCAAGTGTTTTGGAACCTTTCCGTGGCCCTGGCGTTGTCAGTGGACATTTTCTCATATATATAGAATTGTTGTATTTTGTCTGCCAATTGGTGGATGGCTGGGCAGCGAGGTGTTTTCCAGTTTAGAGCTATCAGGTTTCTAGCGGCCATTAAAACTATCCCTATCAATTGTGTGTGGTTTTTTTGTGCCGTTTCGGGGAACAGCAAGAGTAGGCAGGTCGTTATGTCCATGGGGAAGTCTCTAATGCCGAGATCTTTCAATAGGGTCTGAACATCTCCCCAGAGAGGTTGTATCCCCCCACATTGCCACCATATGTGTGGCAGGGTTCCCTCTTCCACACCGCATCTCCAACATTTGGTGGAAACGTCTGGGTACATTCTGTGTAGTCTGGTAGGTGTCATGTACCACCTATATAGTAGTTTGCGATGCGCTTCAATATGTGAGTAGCACTTGGTCCACTTTTTGATCCCATTTAGGGCCAGCATCCACCTTTCCTCTGTCATGACTGTCCCCCTCTCAGTCTCCCAGTGCTGTTTACATGTCATCGGTTTTTGTGGTGCTAGGTCAAGCCATGCTTTATAGCAAAGTGAGAGGGCTTTGGGTTTCATCGGGGCTGTCCAGCATCTGTGGGGTATTAGTCTCGCTGCTACCGCAGAAGTAGGCCCAGTGTGTGGTGTGCCCTTGACGTGTGTGTTTATTGTGTTTTTCAGTTGTAAGTAGGGAAAGATATCCCTCTCCGGGACTTTCCATCTGTCTCTGATGTCTGGGAAACTCATGATCGTCTGGTCTGTACACAGTTGTTGGATTTGGGATATACCTAAGCGTGACCATCTGTTTAGTGGGATCGTAGGATTCACTGCATGTAGTGCAGTGAGGGGAGCTTCAGGGTGGAAGTGTTTCCTCCAGCCCAGGGAGGACATAAAGTCGTCCCATACTCTGACCGTTGCGATTGTGGTGGGGTATAGAATTACTTTGGGGCCTCTTAGTGTTCTCGGCGTCCATAGGTAATTAAGCAGTGAGGTGTGCTTAAGTTGGCCTTGTTCCATATCCACCCACTGTGTTACCCCCTTTTGGGCGTGTAGGTGTATACTCGTTGCTAGAATAGAGGCTTTGTAATAGAGTCCAATGTTGGGCATGCCTATACCCCCCGTTTGGGTCGTCCGTTGTAGGAGACCTAGGGGCAGCCTGGGTTTCTTACCCCCCCCAGATGAAGGAGTTGCATATGGCTTGTAACGATTTATGGATTGCGGCTTGGATGTCTATTGTGAGCATGCGGAATATATACAGTAACCTTGGCAGAAGCATCATCTTATATGTATTCACTCGGCCCAGCCAGGACAATTTTGCATTCTTCCATTTGTGTATTTCTGTGGTGCATAGATGTATGAGGGGCTTATAATTGAGCTTTACTATGTTGCTAATAGGAGCGGCGATCTTAACCCCCAAGTACGTTATAGATGTTGTTCGCCAGTCGAGTTCAAAGGAGTTCTTAAGGGTGGTTACATTTGGCCTTGGTAGGTTTATCGGTAGGGCTTGTGTTTTCTCCTTATTCAGACGGTAGTATGATATTCTACCATAGTCTGTCAATAGAGTTAGTAGAGGGGGCAGCGATTGTTCTGGGTTTGAAAGCGCCACGAAAATATCGTCCGCAAACATCGCCAGACAATATTCCCTGTCCCCCAGCGTGATACCGGTTATGTCCTGGTGTCGTCTTATCTTCCAAGCCAAGGGTTCCAGGGAGAGTATGTATAGCAGGGGGGATAGTGGGCAACCCTGGCGTTTCCCATTCGTAATGTGAAAAGTGCGTGACAGGAAGCCCCCATGGGAGACCCTAGCACTGGGTCGTGCGTACAGAGCCAGGATTCCCCTGATAACCTCTTCGGGGAACTGATACTTGCACAGCACTTGTGTCATATATTGCCAGTTAAGTCTGTCGAAGGCCTTTTCGGCGTCCAGCGCCAGGAAAAGACCTCCGATTTGTCCCCTCTCCATTCCCGCTATTATGTTTAGCACTTTCCTCGAGTTATCAGAGCCTTGTCGGCCCCTCACGAAGCCGGACTGGTCATTATGTACTAATTTATGTAGCAACGGTGCCAATCTTTCGCTAAATAGTTTTGCGTAGATTTTGGCATCGCTATTTAACAATGAAATGGGCCTGAAGTTTTTACATTGATCTGTATTTTTGCCCGGTTTGGGAAGTGTGGAGACATGTGCCATTGTGACTTCTTCTGGCAATGCCCCTTCTGTCATGCAGTGGTTAAATAGAGCGCCAAGAGGTTGCGCTAGGGTGTTAAGGAAGGTGCGGTAATATTTATTGGGCAGGCCATCAGGTCCCGGTGCTTTATGTAGTGGGAGCGTGGAGATCACCGAGGTGATCTCTTCGGTCGTGAAGGGTTTGTTAAGTTGATCCGCCTCCGTCTGAGATAGGGTAGGAAGGTCGATTCCTGCCAGGAAAGCGTCAATATCTGCTTTAGAGGGACAGACTGTCTGTGGGTCATCTTTCAGATTATATAATTTTTCATAATAATGGGCGAATTCGTCCACTATCCCCTGTGGGTTTAGAATTGTGGTGCCCCTGGAACCCTTGATAGAGGCAATTTTGGAGTTAGCCGTCCTCTGTTTCAATTGGGCAGCCAGCCGCGCTCCTGCTTTGTTGCCTGTAGCAAAAAAGCTGTGTTTAAACTTGCGCATGAGGGATGTGGTTTTGGCCAGTTCCAAATCTCTGAGCTGCGATTGTAAGCGCAATAATTTGGCATGTGTGGCTGCTGTAGGGGTGTGTTTGTTGGTGTGAGTTAGGGAGGTTAATTCAGAAAGTATGGCTGTGTAAGATTCTAGTCGCTTTTTTTTTGCGTAGCTGGCGTGCTTGATGAAGCTGCCTCTTATGAAAGCTTTGTGCGCCATCCATATTTGGGGTAGAGGTGAGTCTGGGGTTTTGTTTTCTTTAAAATAAAACTGTAGATCTTGTTCTATTTGGTTAACTATGGCAGGGTCGGAGTGTAATTGTTCATTGAGTCTCCAACTGCTTCTTCCTGAGTTGGGGAATTGTTCCCTAAGTTGTAGTGTAATAGGGGCATGGTCTGACCATGTGATAAGGCCTATGTCTGTGCGCTCAACCTTTATGATGGAGGAGGTGCGGATCAAAAACCTATCTATTCTCGAATAAGTCTTATGCGCTGCTGTGTGGCATGTGTAGTCCCTCTCTGTGGGATGGGTGACTCGCCATGGGTCTACAAGATTGTGCGGTGTTAATTTGTTGCATATTAGTGTGGCTAGTTTGGACCTGCTCTTTAGTGTTTGTGCAGTCAATTGGGGACCTCCTGATGAGTCTAGGTCACTGTCTAGTAAGAAATTCGTGTCACCCCCAATGATCACTTCCCCAAGTGCGTGAGCAGATATCAAACCAAGCAGTACATCAACAAAGTTACATTGGTTAACATTAGGTCCATAGACATTAATTAAGGTATAGACATTATTATTTAGGGAGCATTGCAATATAAGGTACCTTCCCTTTTTATCTCCTATTTTGCGTATTAGGGAGAAAGCTACATCTCTGCCAATAAGGATGGACACTCCTCTTTTTTTTTTGGAGTAACATGAGTGAAAATCTATGGGATACTGTGGGGAGTTAAACTTCGGTCTGTTACCCCATTGGAAGTGCGTTTCTTGGAAGAGCATTACATGGGCACCTAATGATTTTGCTTCGCGCAGTGCTAGGCGGCGCTTGTGAGGGGAATTCAGCCCTTTAGTATTTAGGGAGCATATTTTAAGTACCATCTGACATGTGGTGCAGTCTGTGGCTACTCGGGGGGAGACAGGGTGCTCTTCCAACATTAGGTTCCCTAATGGGAGGTAATTGTATAGCTAACCTGTTGGTGCCAGATGGTGTTAAGGATGCGGGGCATACTGTCTGTGGGATTTGCCTTATAAAAATAAAAAGGGTTAAAACAATATAATAACTGAACCAATAATCAACTATGTACAGTGTTCCGTTCACTGCGCCTCTGCGGTGCAGTGTCAAACCTAACGGATTCTCTTGTGGCTCTGAGTCGGTAGCCACATTGGGGGTGGTTATTGAAATCAGTTGCAAGGATTTAACAACAAAAATTATCATAACAATTCTGGGTGGCCTTATTGGCGCCCTCTCTGGGTGTAGGTAGGCTTTTAGCCCGGCATGGTAATTTGCAAGAAAGGAGCATGTACTATTATAGTCTTTGTATACGACCTGTCCCGTATGAGCACCGTGTGGTCAGCACACGATTGGAAGTTCTGATCCTGCTAGACTTGTCTTTGTGTAGTCTTGGGACGTGGTTGTTTCTTCCATTCAGTGTGGAGTTTGATTGCAGATCTATCCTCTGTAGCTAGCAAGGGGTCATTTGGTATCGGGATGTTCCACTCCAACAGTTGTCTTTTACCGGATTCAGGATCAAGAATCAGGTTGTCTACGCCATTGCGTTTTACTAGTAACTTGGTCGGGAAGCCCCATTTATACTGTACTTCCGCCACTCTCAATGCCGCTGTGATGTGGGTAAACGATCGCCTTTTTATCATAGTCGCAGTGGAGAGGTCAATGAATAGCTTGATTTGGGAAAATTGACCTGGGAGCTGACCTTGGCGTCTAGCCGCTTGCATTATTCGATCTTTCGTTGTGAAATAGTGTATTCGAGTTATGACGTCTCTCGGTACTGTAGTCGGTAAGTGCTTGGGTTTTGGGAGGCGGTGTGTGCGGTCAAGCAGCAACTCAGTTTCCTTCAATGCTGGAACATATGCTGTAAATATTTCTTTTACATATTGGGTCAGATCTAGGGAGCCGACTGATTCCGGTATTCCCCGGATTCTAATATTGTTGCGGCGGTCCCGGTCTTCGTGATCTGCCACTTTTGCTTCTAGGCTTTGTACTCTCTGTATTAGGTCGTTGTGTGCCTCTGCTAGGCTATTATGGGCCTCTATAGTTTCCTCTGCTCTCTCTTCCAGACGTGCTGTTCTTTCACCTAAAGCTCGAATGTCAGCCCTGATATCTGTAGCAATTTGTTTCAGGTCTGTTTTGAAGGTGTGTTTTAATTCAGATAGCATGTTCTGCAGTGAAGCATTTGTGGCTGGTGCTTACATGTCATCTGCAGTGAGGGTAAACTCACCGCCTTCTGAGCATGAGGCTGGGGACTGGGGCTGGTCGGCGCCATTTTGTTCCTCCTGTCCGCACTTTTGGAGGGTCTTTTGTTTGAATTTCTTGGCGGTCTTTGTGGACATTATGAGGTGGGGGTATGCCCGCTTGTTTGCCGCTCTTGCCGGTGCTTGTATGCTGTGTAGTCACGCTGTAAACACCCGTCGGCGGGAGAGCTCCGAGATCAGGCGACCTCTCTCATTCGCCGCTAAGCCACGCCCCCCCAAATCATTATTTTATGCCAAAAGCAACAAATGTGGCAAGTTGCTGGCAAGAATAATTTATAAAAAACATTCCACAACATACATCGCACGTGTCCATTACGTCTTTGGTCAATTATGTCACCTCCCAGATGAGATCGCCACAGCTGTGAAACAATATTATGCAGACCTGTATGCCCTGCCTTCAGAGTCCTCTCCAGCAAAGGTGCACCACACAAATCCAGTCGAACCAGACAAACATAATAGAGATCTCACGCTCTTTGAATTGCTGTGTCAGGAACCTGACCCTATGCCTCATAGTATATCTTGCCTTTATTCCATCCTCCAGTAACAGAGGCTGCCTCCACCCCGCTTTAAGTTGAAATGGGAACAGGACATAGGCAAATGGCCAATGGCACAAAATGTGTGATCTAGTTCATCAAGAGTCAAGAAACGGCCACCTCTCCCCCTGTACAAATCTCCTTCTCCCCCTTCCTCCCCTGCACACAACTCCTCTCCACCTCCCTCCCCTGCACAGATCCCCCTGCTTTCCTGACAGCCCCCCTCCCTGTACAGATCCCCTTCCTCCCCTGCACACAACCCCTCTCCCCCTCCCTCCCCTTCACAGATCCCCCAGGGGGCAAAAGCTCTAGCTACGCCACTGAGTGTAGCCCAACCTAGATGGTATGTGCTGGCTTGTGAGAGGAAGACAGACACCTTGCCCGATCAAAGATCCCTACTGGAAAGGCACTGCCTCTATCACCAACAATTTACAGATGCTTTATGTGCCTCTGTACCTGCTCCATCACATGACTTCCCCCTTGTACCAATATAAACACTCCCTGGCAATCTGCATTTTAAACACTGCTAAGTAAATACTATCTGTGTATTGGAAAATAAGACTCCACCCCACTAATGTCACTGTGACTTGCCAAGATGGAGGAACTCTGGGTCCTGGAAGAGTAATGGTACTCCACACAAGGTAAAGCCCAGGCACATACAGATATTTGGGCACCGTGGCTCCTCAGTACTTTCTTGTATGACTTCTGTAAAGGTACATAGGGGACAGAGGAGAGACGCAGGGGAGCATGGATAGTGCTGGGTCGGGTGGGGCCTGGCTTGCCCCTTCCATAGACTTCTTGGATGACTGGGAGCTGGAGTGCAATACCAAATCTCCTCTCTATATTCTTTTTGCCTTTCTGTTCCTGCTCTTTGTTCTTCCAATCCTTTTACATAGTTACATAGGCTGAAAAGAGACACGTGTCCATCAAGTTCGGCATTTCTCACATTTGATTTTTGCTTTTGATCCAAAAGAAGGCATAAAACCCAGTATAAAGCACTTCTAATTGTGCAACAAAGTAGGAAAAAATTATTTTCTTGACCCCAGAATGGCAGTCAGATATCTCCTTGGATCAAGAAGCTACTACCCCACAAAATAAAATTTATATCCCTATATATTATGTTTTTGCAAGTATACATCCAGTTGTTATTTTTTTTTTGTTTAATAATTTTTATTGTGATTTTCCATCCATATTTTTAAAGATATTCTCTGTGCAAATAATATATTTTACATCTCACTGTCCTAGAAGTCATATACATAAGTAACATAAGTAACATAAAGCCACAAGTGTTCTTGGATGGATGACAGAGCTCCCCCAAATCCCCTCGAAAATAATCTATTACTATTACGCACAACCCTTTCCAACTTTACTCTCAATGATATTATGCCATTCCTTAAAGGAAAGGTGATGGCATATTACTGGATTGCCTTGCTGATTGTGCTTGTTACCCTATTGGATTTACTACTTGTTCCTAAACCATTCTAGGATACCAACGGAAATAGGCTGTGGGAAATCAGCTCTCCGCTACACTGTACACCGTGTTACTTTTAACCAGTGTTCAGGCATCCTGAATGTGTTACAACATGTGATGGACCGTCTGTACCCAGAGTGGTACGTCCATCCAGGATTCTCCCAGTTCCCTCAAGGCTTCAGTAAATATAGCGCTATAGCTCCAGCACACCCAAACATCAGTCAAGACATGAAGTTCAAACAGCTGGTTTTATTAGGCCAAGTTAGCTGGTTATATACACGACCCCCAGCACTGGGTCCCTATTCAGAAAACAGTAAACCCGTTTAGGCGTCTCTGTGTCTAGATAAGTGAGTTTGCTTTTGCTTAAACTAGTTATCTCCCAGACACATGAGGTACAACAGATAAAAACCCCAAAACACAATGAAAACTAGCAGAAACCCACGCATATTTTATGTCCCTGGATAACTCTGATCTGAGCGCCCAAGTTGCCAAAATAGCGCTCAGATCCATGCAGTATAGCCAAATCACCACTGTGGTAAAGTTTTGACTGACCACCACATGGGCTAAGCCTAAAATAGTTCCAGGGGAATTGTCCTTGAAGCCAGTCAATTGTCGGAGCTCCTGTGGTCAAGCAAATGGGAGCTTCCCTTGGCTCTCAGGGAGCGATTGTTCATCATAGTCTAGAGTATCCTCCCTCCAAATAGCGCTCTCCTGGCAAGTCAGGAAGGTAAATAAAGAAGGGGAATGAGGGACTGTGAAGGAGAGGGTAAAGTGACCAAATATAGTTCAAGGTGTAAGATTGCTAAGTGTCGCTGGGGGCGTTCGGATGTATGCAAAAAACGAATGACTGCCAAGCAGAGGGCGCTTCAGTTTGCATTTGGGAGAGGGAGGATACTGAGCCAGGGGAATACAGTTCGAGGAACAGAACACCAAGTTCTGCTCATTAGGTAAGGACACAACATATTACAAGTCTTCATGCACGCCATGGATACAATCAGGTTTTTAATGAGCAGTTTTATTGAGCCGCAAGGCGCGAGTTTACCTCTATGCATTTAGCAACCACCCATGTGCAATGTCTAGTTGTTTTGCTTTTAAATTTATGGTATTATTTTTTAGATGTTCCCATTGACACATAAAATACTTTGGCATTTTATTTTACTTGGGCACCTGTTTTTTGTGCACAGACTACTTAGTTTCTGTAGAATCAGTAGCCTTAGGTTGCAGTGAAAATGAGTCTGACAAACAGAACTCTGGGTACACTGATGTAGCCCTCAGAAGATTTCATATTGTTTCAGCGTTGGCAAAGTTTTGGCTCAAGAGAAAAATTTGAGAGCCTAAATGTTACCAACTCTAATCTAAATAAAGTATTCCTAGGACTACATCACGTGTGCCCCAACTTCTGTTTGCAATTTGCATTGTATGGAGATCCACCTCTCATGCCTGGAGGCATCATGGTGGAATTTCAGTGAAATTCCAACACAATCAATGTGAGTATTTCACAACCATTTTATCATTAACTTTT